CATTTTAATGCTTAAAAAAAGAACTTATAAAGAGGAAATTAAAAAAATAAATTAAACTTATAGTAATATAGCAAAAATTCATTTTAACTTAAATAGTAATAAGCGAGGAATATGTATTCGATGAGTAAGTTAAATTTTTTTTTCATTTATCATTATTTGAATATATTTTTGAATTAAATTTTTTAAGACAAAATGAAAATTTCGGATTAATTCAAATTTTCCATTATTAAATTTGAAAATGTATGATTATTCATAATATGAATGAATATTTGTTCCGGAAATAGCAATATTTAACTATTTATAGGAATTCAGATTTTATACCGGATGATGAATTATAGTCCGGAAAATAGTATGAAAAAACCCGAAAAATTGCACATATTTTGACAATAATTAATTTAGGGCATAAAAAAAAAAGAAAAACAGATAAATGATAAGATATATTACAACTAAACTGATTTCTTTATTCAATCATGTCTTTTTTTTCTTTTTTTTTTTTTGAGAATACAACAAATTGTTATTTATCCAGATTAAATTTCAATTTTCAATTTCGTAATTTGAAAATTTCATAAAATGAAAATTATCATAGAGAAGACATTTATACTAAGTGAGCGTAGAAGATTGTTTCTTTTTTTTCTATTAACATAAGCGGATATCGTAGTCATACAGTACTCTTCACAGACATCGCTTGTACGTCCAATGTTTTGGCTAATTCATCCTGAAATATTTTGTTAAAAATTCATAGGACTTAAAGTCAACAAAATCTATCAAATATTACTTCAATTGATAGCTGCATAGTTGGATAAACAATAATTGAATACAGTAAGAAATAATTTTTTATACCGCATGAGTAATTTGATTTGGATGATATGGTATACCACCGTATTTCTCTACCAATGCTATATGTTCTTTTTCTGGATCACCAGCTACTAATACTTGCTTGTTATCAATCTGTAATGTTTTTTTTGTAAAAAATTCTTAAGTTACCAAATATTAGGTAAACAATTTATGAACTTCTTCAGTCTTTGTTTTTTTTTCCTTTGTTTTTAACAAATAGCAAAATGGTTAAAGGTTAATTAATCTTATTAATTACAAGTTATGGTATAACGATGGAAAAATGAACACTCTTTCAGTAAAAGTAAACCTTTTTTTCCTGCAAATTGTAATGGATTGATGGGCGATTTTTTTTTTTTGCAACTAATTAAAATTACCAATAAAGTAAAATTAATCAGTTAACAAATTTTTTTTTTTAATATTAGAGATCGAAAAAATTAAGAAATCAAAAATTTTTTTTTTTTAATATTAGAGATCGAAAAAAATTAAGAAA